TTGACTAACATTATCGGACTTTATTTATGCCTAAAACCTGCTCCGTGATATCCTCTTTCACTTAAAAAAAACTGCATAACAATCGGATAAGAAGTTTCGAAGCCAAACCGTAACAAAGATTTCCTCTTTTGCTTGATTTCAGTTTATTAGGAATAGATAAATAAACATCAAAATGACCACTATTAATATTTCCAGTTAGACGCAATCTTTTTACTGGGAATGTATCTACACCAAATTTGGCGTAAAGATTATTATTATAATAAATTTGAAATAAATATGGGAAAATATTTCCATCTGCAACCAATTCGCAATAACTACCGTAGGCAGTAGGATTGACCATTTCAAGAACATAAGCCTCAGCAGTGGAAAAGTTGTCACCATTTGAATTGTAAGACATAAATAAAGTTATTCCAATTATCAGACACATAAGAAACAATTGTATTTCGGATCTCCTGACATCTTTCTTGAGTATTAAACAAATGAAATGATATTGAACGGAAAAGGCAGGCACCATCACCGATAATTGGTACAACTATTTGAGGTGTCAACATTCCATTGACAAAAATATCTTCAATCGATGACATTTTTAAAAAAAATATTCAAACAATTAAATTGAATAATGCCGGGTTGCATAAACGTTCATTAAACATTTAATGAACCAATAGCGCGCTATCGAATGAATAAATTATTTAATGGCTCACTAAACGGTCATTAAACTTATTGGTTCCTTAAACTGGAGATTACCAGATCATTAAATTAGTGATCAGATTTCGGCTCACTAAATTTTTATGCAACGGTTTATCACACAATTATAATTTTTTCTCAAATCTCAAGATAGCTAATATGCCTACCGATACGAGTTACCAATTGGCAATTACCATAATATTATCATTATATTATATATATGAGTATATTTTCAATTTGTACCACGATTAAAGATATATATATATATATATATCTTTAATCGTGATTTGTATTAATAATTAATATTATCTTCTCAATTTGGTGATAACAAAATTATCAAAAACCACATACTAGGTATAAACCAAAAGTAGTTTAATACATCTTTTATGCAACACGGTTAATTAATCAGTACATTAATCGGTTCATTAAAAGTATTTTAATCATTCATTAAAACAAACCATTAAACTAATTTAATCATCGCTTTTATGCAACCCGGCATAAATATAATATTTTAAATAATTATCCAACGTGTTCCGGGTAATATAAACAAAAAAAACAAACATGCCCGATTAACCATAGATTATTCTATATTAGCCAGTACATCGAGCTGATGTATTAATTGCCATAGAGATGTCTAAATTGTTATTATTATATCAATATTTTATTTCACTCATTTTAATACCAATATTGTATATTTAAATTAAATATTGCTTGATAGATGGCGCCACTATCGTATTCTTCCAACCCCACTTTTACCCCCTTGTAGGTCGAATTTTCGAAAATCCTTTCTTAGTGCGCCCTTACATTGCTTAAGGAACCTCTGTACAAAATTTCAAGTCTCTAGACCCAGCGGTTTGGTCTGGGCGTTGATGAGTGAATAGGGGCCGTCTCCTATATGTATATAGATTTAGGTACATTTTATATCGATTCACAATTCAATATTTCAATATGTATTAAAACATTGATTTCTATACGTTTTTCCAAAAAATATTTGTTTTCGTAAAGTGTATATCTTTATTATATTTGTTCATAGTATCATCTGTTGATACAATTTTAATATTTAACACCCACTATATAATATTTAACGGTCTCTTTTTCAAGTTTTGAACATACTGGTACAAGCTGATTTTCGCCAAATTCCATATTGACGTTCATTCCCAAATCGAGAAATTTTAACTGTTCAGGATTAGTATCTTCAATGTTCTCGTCAACGTCATGTATTCTACCTGTCATAAAAAATAACAACAAACAATATATAGGTAGCGAGAAAAACCAGGCTAACAGGTGACAAAGACTTCGATAACGGCAGTTGAATGATAATTCGCCTAATATTATGATGATAAAGGCACAACGAATAACAACTATTGAGTGGTAAATATTCAAGTTTAATATAAGTACCTACATCTTCACAAACGACTTCGAGAAAAACTTTTCATGATAAATAGATAGGTAAGTATATTTGTCTATATATTATTATGAAACAAATCAAATAATATTTTAAACAATAGGTCTACCATCTCGATAATTATGCAAGTAGATAATGTTGAAATAGATTATAATTTATTATATTCTCAATACAAATCTATATACGAAACAATTTTTCAGTAGTATAATATTTTATAAATTCACTATCTAGGAGTTCTGCAACCTGTACCTACCTATTTAATCGAGTTTATTAATTAAAAATTCACCCATTAATATTTATTCGCAGAGAACAAAATAATGTCCCTATAAGAATTTTAAAACTACCCAGGCATATTCTTTTAGCAGTAAAAATAATTATTGCGAAAAGTACTAATGGTTTTGGTAATATTTTATTTTTAAATAATTGGAAACCATTACAAAATTACAAACATGTATTTTGAAATAATAATATTTTTTCCTTTTTTTTATTGTTATTGTTTATAAGTTTATAATCTTTTTTAAACAAAAAAATTCATTTTCATATTTTGAAACAAAATGTTTTTATGAGAATATTGTTATATCAAAAACCTTAATTCAAACAAGTAATGAAATAGTTGTGTGTGGGTATTATTATAGTTCACTAGTTCAGATGAGCAAAATTTCTGTGGCCAATCATTTTCTCTGTGCCACTTTACTCAGTTCATATATCAAAAACATTAATTATTTTCGAAATGGTGAATGTTTACTGCTAAAAATAATCACTTAAGTATTAAAGGCCCTGTAATGTCATAGACCGAAATTACCTCTAAACACATTATTAAGCGTATTATACACTGCCACACAGGGGCGGAACTAGGGGGGTGAAGCCGGGGATTGATCCCCGGGCGGAAAATTTTAGTGGGCGTAATTTTTCTTTAGTTCTTTATTTAATGCTTGGTGATGGAAGTTAAGAAAACATTTTTATTTCACATTATTTGTTTATCATGTTGTAGTGATGACGTTGGAATTAATGAAAAAAAAATAAAGTTAATAGTAAGATTATGAATAGATTCGTATTAGTATACTAAGTATATACTGGTATACTGGCATTAGCATACCTACTGCAAGCATATACAACTTGTAATAAAAATGATTGAACGCTGATACAAGGTTTTGTGGTTCAACAAATTATTAACAGTTTATTGAAATATATTGTGTTATTTATTTGTACAATATTTTCTTTTTGTTTTTTTATTCAAATCGTTTAACACGATGTACATTTAAAAATACATGTAACAAGGAATAATGTTTCTATAATTTTATTATATTCGGACTCACGGTTTGTTTGAATGTTACTTAATGTGATAGTAGTTGGCTGGTTGCAATATACGGTGTCCGGTCTGTTCACGGCGACGAGTCTGTAGGTACTATTGACGATGGTGAACTGTGTATCGGCGGCGTTTCGACAGCGGTGACACTTATGCGGGTATCCAAATAGGTGTGCGGCGGCCACGTTATTTAATGCTGCGATTTCGTGTTGGTACCTACTTACGACGGTGCGTAATATTATATAATGATCGTTAATCTGATACAGCGGTATTCAATACGGACGGCAACGTTTTGGCGGCGACGGTCTCGTATAACGGCGGTATCTTAATATTTGTAATTGTACTGTGTGGGTGTGTGGATACTAGGTCGGGCGGCGGCGGCGATGGCTCGGCGTCCACGACGGTAACGGCGATTTACGGGGGGGTACTCACAGTTGCACTGTGTGGACCTATTAATTTAGGCCCCAGGTACAAGTGTGGGTGTGCGGATACTAGGTCGGGCGGCGGCGGCGATGGCTCGGCGTCCACGACGGTAACGGCGATTTACGGGGGGATACTCACAGTTGCACTGTGTGGACCTATTAATTTAGGCCCCAGGTACAAGTGTGGGTGTGCGGATACTAGGTCGGGCGGCGGCGGCGATGGCTCGGCGTCCACGACGGTAACGGCGATTTACGGGGGGATACTCACAGTTGCACTGTGTGGACCTATTAATTTAGGCCCCAGGTACAAGTGTGGGTGTGCGGATACTAGGTCGGGCGGCGGCGGCGATGGCTCGGCGTCCACGACGGTAACGGCGATTTACGGGGGGGAAATTAACGACGAGTCTATTCTGTATGCTGTTTGGACCTGAAGAAGCCCCAGATACAGAAGAGAGTTTTAACGGTACACTATGACGGACGGGACAACGGCGGACTATAGTGTCGTAAAGGCGAAGCGAAACTCGATACCCGTTTGCGCTGTTTGTACCCAAGGTGGGCACCAGACACAACGACGGGTAGACGGCGGCGGTATAATGCTGTTTGAACTCGAGATGAGCTCCAGACACAATACGAAAAGCGTATGCGGTCGGACGGATGACTGTTGTTTTTGGTGACTTCACCGGGGTCTATTTACTACATACCCTGGTGACTGCTGCATGGTATATTGTTGACTTACTCATACAACCTCATGGTGGTATTTGTCGGTAGGTTTTGATTTTTATGGTATCGTTCGGGCTGTGCTCGACTCCTACCATGTGACGGTACATGTTATACTACTTACATTGGTGTTAGTTAGTAGTTTTAAAGGTTTAAATGTCGCTGGTACGCACCGTACTAAAAGGACTGCGCGTACCGCGACATCTAGTGCGTTTTTCAGGCATGCAGTTTTGAACAGAATACTACATTTTAGTTCTTACTTTGTCGACGGGTAGCGCGTCGTTCATGAATATCATGATATGGACGGTTCTGTCTCGTTACATAGTCCCCTTTTTTATTTATTAATTTTGAGAGGAAATGTAGAAATTTATGAATAAAAACTTTTATTTTGTAAAGAGACAGAGGTGATTTTTTTCTTAAATTTTGATTGAATAAAACCAGGTTTATTTTTTTTTTTTTTTTTTTTTTACTCTTGAATTGACGTAGTGGCTGATGATGACGCTCCATTGCCAGGACGACGTTGCCGTCGTATTTCTTGTCGCGCTAATCGGTACTGTTCACGCTTCAGTTTCTTGTTACTTATTTTGGTGACATGTTCGACGGGCGGAGTTTCGATTGACGAGAGAGATGTGGTTGTGGATAGAACGTCTAACGTAGTTGGTATAGCACGGACGGTGCTTGGCATTGTGAACGTAGGTGTTAGTGAATACCTCGTCAGTTTAGCAGCACTTTCCCGTTCATATCGTGCTTGTTCCTTTTTTTGTTCGACGGGTGATTTGATTGCTGCCATTTGCTGTATGGAAGCTTGATATTCGCTGTCCAGAGTTAAATACTCACTGCCAAATAACTCGAGGAATTCTTCATCGGTATAGTCTTCGGACAGGAGCTGGAATGTGTTAGCGCTCATGATTTCTCCGGCTGGTGATGGGCCTAATTGGAAAAGTCATGGTCACCGCAAATACTTAATTTTATTTAATTAGGAAAAGAGAGGAATGGATCGCAGGATTTTCCTGGATCAGGAGGGAAACACAAGTCTTCGTCTTTCCTTGGCAATGAGTGATACGGTTTGACGTTTTTGACGTTGTATCGCATTGTTTGTCCCCTTGAATCTTCTACGAGTACTGTATTGTTGTCCCTTATCTGTACCAGGGTGTAGGGTCCCCGGTATAGTAAGAAGAATTTATGAATTTCATTATCTTCACCTGATGATAATTTGTGTTCTTTGACTAGCACTTGCTGGCCAACTTGGTATTGGATGAACTTCTTTGCCTGATCTTTGACGCGGTTCCTTGCGTCGGCTCTAGTTCTTAATTTTTTCCTGACTACTTCAATGATTCCTTTGTGATTGATTTCTTCTTCATGGTCCGGAAACAATATTTGTGGAGCTATTGTTGTGTTAGGTTCCTCACCGTATAACACTTGGTGTGGCGTATATCCGGTGGAATCGTGATGTGAATGGTTGATCCAATACTCGATATTTGATAACCATTTTACCCAATTGGTATGCTTTGAATGACAATAGGTGCGTAGCATCCGACCTATTTCGCGATTCGCACGTTCTACCGGGTTGCTTTCTGGATGGTAGGTCGTGGTATGTAGAATTCGGATTCCCAGAGCGGTCAGTTGCTTGAACCATTGTTTGCTGTGGAATTGGGTTCCGTTATCTGTGAGTAGTTGATCGATTGGTCCTATCTTGGGTATATACTCGTGGACGATTTTCCTCAAGATAGTATCGGCGTTGGCTTTTTTGATTGGGTACAACTGTATGAACTTGGAAAATACATCTAGCACGGCAAGTATGTATTTTGCACCTCGCTGTCCCCTTGGTAGTGGTCCCATGAGGTCCAAGGATACTAGCTGCAGCGGTTTGTCCGGCAGTATGCTAATAGTTGGTCCCCTTGCCACTTGATTATCATATTTTGACTTTTGACATATATCGCATGTTTTGACTATTCGTTTAATAGTCCTATACATGTTGACCATTTTATACTGAAGTTTGAGGATTTGATAGACCTTGGATGTACCCATGTGTCCGTACCTCTCGTGTGTCTCTTGGACAATGGCTTGGTTCATCGACTGTGGTATCATTACTTGGTATCTACCATGTTTGTTTTTTGTAAAGAGCAGTTCTTTGAATATGAAGAAGTGTTGGTTTTTTTTGCTTGCTATTTGTAGGAAAATTTTCTTCAATTTCTCGTCCCCTTGTTGGAGTTCACGTAGACGGTCGAACTGTTCCATTAGTGTTGGGCTGTAGTCCATGAGGGTGAGTTTGTTTATAGTGATTTGCAGTTTGTTCCTCCCCAAGTGGTCATCTGGTTTTTGCGGGTATCTGGTGAGTGTATCTGCACCGATATTGTCTTTCCCTGGTATGTGTTCAATTATTAACTGGTATTCCTGCAACTTTATAGTCCACCTAGTTAATCGTGCGTTGAGCAGTTGACAACTATTTAAAAATGTCAGTGCCTGGTGATCAGTAAGTAGGTGCGTTTCATGGCCTAGGATGTAGTTTCTAAATTTTTTACATGCGAAGACGATGGCGAGTAATTCTAATTCAGTGGTGCCATAATTCCGTTCGGCCGTGTTCAGCGTGCGACTGATAAAACTGAGGGTTTGATGGTGTCCTTCTTCGGTTTTCTGAAATAGTTCGGCGCCGATGTAGGTGTTGGACGCGTCTGTACTGATGTAGAATTTTTTGTTAAAGTCTGGGTAGTGAACAATGATGTCTTCGAGAAATTGTGCTTTGATTTCTTCGAATGCTTGTTGTTGTGTAGTGCCCCATTGCCATGATGTTCCTTTTTTGATGAGCGCACTGAGTACTGATGTTTTTTCCGATAAGTCACGAATAAACTTTCGGTAGAAATTGATAAATCCAAGAAAAGCTTGTATTTGTTTCTTATTCTGTGGTGGTTGAAAATTTTGTATAGTTTGTATTTTTTCCGGATCCATGGTGATTCCTTTTTCTGATATCACGTGTCCGAGGAAAATGATTTTTTTGCGGAGGAAATGAGATTTTCGTATGTTGATTTTCACATTGTACTCGGTAAATTTGGTAAATATGGCTTCTAGGTGGTCCATATGTTCAATGAAACTGTTTGAAGTAATATGCAGATCATCGACGTAGATGGCTACAAATTTTAAAATGTCGGGTCCTAACACTTGATCGAGTATTTTTTGAAATTCAGCAACGGAATTTACAAGACCAAATGGTAAGACCTTATATTGGTAATTTCTGCCCTTATGAAGAAATGCAGTAATTTCACGGCATTCTTTCTTCAATGAACATTGCCAGTATCCGGCGGTGAGGTCGATAGAACTGAGGTACTTGACTCCCTTAAATTTGTTCATTATATCATCTATGTTCATGGGTCGCTCGCGGTCAGGTACGATGCGGGTATTGATTTTTCGGGCGTCAAGACATACTCGTACATCGCCATTTTTCTTTTCTACTCCGACCATAGGTGATGACCACGGCGAATTTGAGCGTTCGATGATATCCAAATCCAACATGCGTTGAATTTCTTGGTCTATTTTTATGGCTTTAGACACAGGAACTGGATAAGGTTTTTGATAGATGGGTGTGCCGGGGGTGACCCTGATTTGACACTCTAAGTTTTTTATTTTTCCTGGACAGTCGGAAAATACCTGGTGATATTTTTCCATCAGTGTGTTGAATTTTTCTTGCTCGTCTTGACTAACGATAATTGAGTTGTCTTCATCATTTCGTTCTGATAGCGTAATTTCCCTTATGCTGACACTCTGTGATATTGGTTTGGGCATTTGTTTTGAAAATGGTACTGAGTAGATTATGTGACCTACTTCTAGTTGTACGGTATGACTGCTGAAGTTGATCTGGGCGTTGTGTTGGTTCAATATATCTGCTCCAATGATCCCTTTTTCATTTAGTCCTTCCACTTGAATAAAGTTAGCGTGTATTACCGCTTGGCTGAGTTGACATTTACAAAATATTTGTTTTGATATTTTGCATATCTGTTTTCCTATGGCATTACTGATTCTTATACCATTTATTGGAAGTTGTGGAATAGTGGGATCCTCTTTTATGATGGTGTCCACTATTTCCTTGGTCAATACGCTGATTGTGGCTCCGGTGTCTACTAATAGTTCCACCTCCTCACCTTCAATAACACATTTTATGTATGGGCTGTAAGATTCCTCCTTACTCTGTATTTTGTTGATTTGATGCGAAGTTTCGCTGACGTCATTGGTGGCACTGGACACGACTTGATTGATTTGTTGTCGGGTGTCACGTGGTTGTTGTGGTTGTTGTGATTGTTGTGATTGTTGTGATTGTTGTGGTTGTTGTGGATTTTCATCGCGATTGTTCCAACGGTTGTTTCGTGGCTGATTGTTGCCCCGCTGTTGTGGTCGGTGACTCCAGTCATTTTGTGGAACTCGGTGACTCCAGGTGTTGTTATTTTGATTGTTGTTGTTTTTCACAGTGTTATTTTCTGTTGTTGATGATGTCGGCTTATCCCGACGGCTTTCTTCAGTACCTAGTACCTTCATTGCATTTATTACTGATTTGTCTGGTAAAGATACTAGTATTGCTCGGAGATAACCAGGATAATGGTTGGCAATGTTACTTACAATCTCTTCCTCTGAAAGTTCAGGTACTTGCAAGTGACGTAACTTTGATGCCCACTGCGAGAAATGTTCCCGGTATGTGACATTGTCCGGTATCTGTGTGGTGTTGAGACAATTACTCCATGTTTGGATTTGTATTTGCCTTGACCAAAACTCGTCGATAAATGCATCTCGGAAATCTGCATAATCCCGTATTTGAAATTTGATTGTTGAGTACCAATTACTGGCTGCATTTTTCAAACAGTCGCGTATAATAATCAACCTTTCTTCTCGGTTCATTTGTTTCACTTTAAAATATTCTTCCAAATTTTGTAAAAACTCTATGGGGTGCGGGTCTTTACTGTTGGCGTGGAATGTCGGTTTTGATATTTCGATATTTGAATTTCTTCGATCGTCGTTGATTACCTGTGTACTTTGTTTTTGATCGATGAACATTTTTCTTAAGTTTTCTATGTTATTGAGATTTTGTTGTTCTAAATTTCACATATCTCTGAAATGGTCTTCATTATTTTTTTCAATATCAATTTTGTATTGTTCTTCAATATTATTACATTTTTCTTCGAGTTTATTAATTTTTTCTAATAACTGATTGACTAAATATTGACTGTTGTGTTCTACTTCGCGTTGGAAAGTTCGGAACGTTTCTTCGGTGATGTTTTTCCTCGGCGGCATTTTTTTTTTTTTACAGATGTAGTTTTCTTCTCTTTTTACCGACGTAGAAAATTTTCACTTGTAAGTCTTGGGGTTCGAGGTAGAATTTTCTTCTTTATCGAGCCTTGTAGTTGGGCGCCATTGTAATAAAAATGATTGAACGCTGATACAAGGTTTTGTGGTTCAACAAATTATTAACAGTTTATTGAAATATATTGTGTTATTTATTTGTACAATATTTTCTTTTTGTTTTTTTATTCAAATCGTTTAACACGATGTACATTTAAAAATACATGTAACAAGGAATAATGTTTCTATAATTTTATTATATTCGGACTCACGGTTTGTTTGAATGTTACTTAATGTGATAGTAGTTGGCTGGTTGCAATATACGGTGTCCGGTCTGTTCACGGCGACGAGTCTGTAGGTACTATTGACGATGGTGAACTGTGTATCGGCGGCGTTTCGACAGCGGTGACACTTATGCGGGTATCCAAATAGGTGTGCGGCGGCCACGTTATTTAATGCTGCGATTTCGTGTTGGTACCTACTTACGACGGTGCGTAATATTATATAATGATCGTTAATCTGATACAGCGGTATTCAATACGGACGGCAACGTTTTGGCGGCGACGGTCTCGTATAACGGCGGTA